ACGCCACTGGGTGTTCCTACGGAACCGGCACGAGTATCAGAACCAGGTTTCGCTGATTTTTCATGAAATCCAATTGATGCAATTTGCAGCTCAGTGTTTTTTATCAAAAGCGATAAAAAATCTTTATGCATATTTAGCACGATATAGGAAACGAGCTCAGGCTACGGACATGTTATTCTCATAATACACACCCATTCGAATTCGAAACGGTAAAATATGCGTTGATCGATTGGCACAACCTTTATTCTTTGCAAAAAAAAAACAAACATACAGGCTCACTCACTGAACCAAAATGACCTGTGGACTGCAGCCTCTCAAATATCTTCATTGAGGGCCAGTTCAATTTTGCTACCTCTCTATAAGTACCTATAAGTTACCGATTACCTATAAGTTAACCCGCGCCGTGCTGGTGGCCTGTGCTTTCCGTGTCGTGCTGGGGGGGGGGGGGGGTGTTTTCACGTCCCCCCTCTAACTCGGCTCCTGGGCCACGTAGCGACACGCGGTAAGGGGAAATCGAAAGAGCGTCAAAAATAATGACGGAAAGACTTCGTTTCAATTTTTAGATCAGGTCAAAGGTCAGGTCACCAGAGGTCATCAAAGGTAAAATTGAGTCCATTTCAACAATTTTGGAAACTGCCAACGGCTAACTCGGGAACCAATAGAGTTACAGCGCCGCGGAAAAGCGCATTCGATAGCCCTTTTACAGGCTTTTCTGAATATTGCTCTCGGATTTGATCTCAGGTCAATGGTTAAGCCTCCAGCCAGAGGGCAAAAATTCCAAAAATACCAGTTTTTATGAAAAGCGTTTTTCTGCAATAACATTTGGTTCAAGACAGTGACGATATTTCTTTTGCCTGCCTCGTGTTCCTCTCGTCGAGACGCGTCGAATGAACTATACGTTGACCTTGAAAGGTTATTTTAAAAATTTGACCGCAGGTCAAGGTCATGACCTGACCGTAAAGGGCCATTCTGCAGATCAGTCGATCCGTATCGTCGAGCTGACCACATCTGACGTGTTTTCACCGCTCTAGCACGTCTCCATTAAAAGATGAAGCCAAAAAACCGTTTATGGTGATAAAATAGGTGACCGCTTATGACCTGAGATGACCTCAAGGGCACATAAAAGGACACATGTGCATTTTTACGATTCAGTGTGCTATGTTTACCTATGAACCGATGTTTAAGGGGTTTTAAACGACATTCGTCCAAAAGAGGCGCATTTCACTTTTCTCCCACTGACTTGAGGTCCCAAAATTGACCTGACCTTAGGTCACAGACATAAAAAGTCCGAGATGAACATTTTATGCATATTGTTAGTCTTATCAATCTCTAAAAGTTTCAAAAGTGATCGTTCTGTCGGTGTAGCTATAGCGGGTCTTTTAACTTTTTTTAGGTAAGGTCACTTGACGTGCCCTAGTGACCTGACCTTGAACGACCCTCATCTGAAATTTAACAAGCTGTGTAGAAAAGATGTATGAACAGGTGTACCAAAGACAGCGGAGGCGCTGCGCGACGCCGTTTTTGAGATGTTCGCGAGGAAAAAACCTAAGGGGGCGTACCCCCCCCTCCAGCACGGTGCGGATCAATGGGAGACAGTTGAAATGCTCTTCTTCTGAACGAAAACAACCTCAACCATCGGGATGCAGGTAAATATGACACATTTAATCGGTAAATGTCACTCGTGATGTGACCACTTTTATGTTACTGAGGTCATCTCAGGTCGTGAAAGGTCTCCAGTAGATTTTGGACAATAACTTTTGATAGAGATATATTAGAGCAATGAAACACCCTATATAATTATTTTCCTTCTCGAAAGTATGGATCGACTAATATGCAATATGACCTTTACCGGTTAGGTTATGACCTTTACCTTAGGTCAAATTCTCAAATGCCCTTTTAATGTCAAATTTTAGTTCATTTGACTTGTCTGTCTCGAAAAATGGAACACGATGCTGGTTGAACTAATCTCATGCAGGTCTGAGCAAAATGTAAACGTCCTCCGCGAAAACGTATATTTTGAGGCTAAAACGTTTACCTTAGGTCAAATCTGAGATAATCAATAAGAGAGAGCATAAAAAAGAGCTATCGAATATGCGCTTTGCTGCGGCGCTGTAGTTCAATCTCTTTCTGAATCCTGACTTATGCGCCGCTTTGTCAAAAAATGTCAACATCGGCGAACTTTGATTTTCAGTTGTCGCTGGTGACCTGACCTTCGACCAGTTCGACCTAGCCTTAAAATGATCTAAGTAGTTTTGTAATAGTTTTTGACGCTCTTTCGAACGCCGCCTACTGCGTGTCTCGACGTGGCCCACAAGCTGAGTTAGAAGTGGACTAGGGTTACCCGCGTGCTCCGCAACGCGAAGGGGGAATTTTTTGACCCGTGGGTACTGGGTTGGTCTGTGTCGATTTGGTTGGTAGATATCCATTTCGTTCGATTGCTTTTTGACGGCCAAGCATTTTGTAAGAAAACAAAAAGATACATCGCATCGAGGTGCACGTGTCGTATTCTCATGCGTTCTACTTTAGAATGATTTGAAAACTGGCGTGAAGTCTTTTGAGGGCCATCGATGAATTTCGCTAAAAATGACGATGTAATGGTTTGGAACATTTACATTTTTAAGAATACTGTTGCTCATCATGCAAAAATGAAGACTGAACCTTGGACAGAATTGAATGCTCTTTCCAACAGTGCCATTTTTAATTCCCAGAAATATCAGATCATGGAGCAAAACCCGTGTGATTGATAAAGTGACACAAAATTGACAAACACCATTTACTCCTGTGATTTGCACCACCTTGATTTGGATCAATCAGCTTTTCATAATTTTTATATGAGAGGCGGTACCTTTCTCTTGCAAATAGGCGTTGATTCAACTCGCTCCATTTAACGGTCACCTAAAAATAAAATTAATTCCAAAATCCCTCAAAAACCGCAATTTTTCAAATAAAAGTGCCCTCTCCGGTGCACGTGGCGCGTGCTATCCTCTGCATTGCACACCATTCAATAGCCCGTTCAATTCTGTACACGATGCTGTTTTCCCCGTGCCGGTCGGATCCCTGGTCACCAAGATATTGCACGGGAACTGGACCCGTGTCGGCCAAAATTAGCCATTTTCGCCCGATTTCGCACGCCGATTTATACATGTAAAGTCTATGACGCGAATTTGCACTTTTTGAGCACGCACCACGCGCTCCCTATCGACCCGATCGAGCTGAGACCCCTCAAAGGCACGTCGCGCATCCTTGATCTATGAGTTGTGCAAATTTCACCGGGCTAGGTGCAACGGTCTGGCCTGCAGTCCACGCAAAGCACCACCAAGTCGGGACCTCGGTAACGGACAGACGCACCCTCCTCAAATAGTAATATAGATGTTCGAACACCCCCAGCAGGTTCAATAAAAAAAAAACGCTTACGCTGGGGGCGGCACCCCACTGCTAGGCGCTGTCGGCATCGCAATAATGGGCGGCACAGCGCTGAGGGGTGCAACTTGCATTGAGGGGTGGCATTGTACGGTGAAGGGGCAGCGTCGCGTTGAGGGGCGGTATCGCAACGAGGGTGGCACTTACAAGGCTGCCTAATAAGGAACGCTTCGCTTGGCACATCCAAGCCCAGCTCGGCGCCGCCTAGCTGCTGCATCTTGAAAAGGGCCCTTGGTGTCGATGAGAAAGCCCCATTGTCAAAAAAATTGCCTAGCGTCAGTGGTTTCGGGGGGGGGGGGCGACCGAAGTATCCAATTCAGTTTCGCGTCAGTGACTACTGGAGGGCGTCAACGACCTCGGATAGGGCGAATGTGATCTTCAGAAGGGCACCGGGTGCTCTAGAGGGGCGCCATTGATCTCGGATGGTCCGACTGGGATTTTCAGAGGAGCATCAGTGGTTTCAGAGGGGCGCCATTGATCAAAGATGGGCCGACTGAAGCCCCGGTTCAGGTGAGCGCCAGTGGCTCTTGAGGGGCGCCAGCGACCTCGGATTGATGGGGCGACTGTGATCTTTAGAACGGCGTTGAGGGGCGCCATTGGGCATGGATGGGGCCACTGTTGCCTTCAGCAGGGCGCCGCAGGGAGGCTCTGGAGGGGCTTGAGCTTGGGTGGGCCGACTGTAGTCTCCAGGGGCGTTGTCTCGGATGGGGCGAATGTGATTTTCAGAGGGGTGCCGGGTAGTCTAGAAGGGCGCCATTGGTTTCAGAGGGCTGCCATCGATCTTAAGATGGGGCAGCTGTAACCTTCGTTTAGATGGGCGTGATCTTCAGAAGCGCGCCGGACGCTCTGGAGGGGCGTCATTGGGCTTGAATGGGGCGACTTTAGTCTCAAGCGGGACGACTTCAGTCTCAAGGGGGTGGGGCGCTAGTGGCTCTTGAGGGCGCTATTGATCTCGGATAGGGCGACTGTGATCTTGAGAAGAATGCGGGTGCTTTAGAGGGGCGCCAGTGGTTTCAGGGATCGATCTTGGATGGGTCGATTGGGGCAGCTGTGAACTTCAGAGGGGCGCCGGGTGCTCTAGAGGGGCGCCATCAAGCTTTAATGGGGCGACTGTTCCGTTTAGGTGGGTGCCAGCGGCTCTTCAGGGGCGCCATCGACCCTGGAGGTTCGGAATATTCTGGTTTCCGGAGGGGCGCCCTTCAACATTTGGGGGCTCAGGTCGTATTTGGGGGTGCCCTGGAGATTATTTAGGTGTCCAGGCACCCCCAAAGAGATATTGAGTTCGATCCCTGCCTGCACATCACTTTTTAATTCATGCTCTCTCTGTAAAACGGCATCAGCCTAGTCGGCGCTAATTGGGGCGCCATTTGGGCGGCTGGGCGGAAAGGGGGGGCCATGGCCCCCATGGCCCCCCCTGTCTACGCCACTGCCTACGGAGACCATGTAGTTTCGACAGCCAACATTCCGAACCCGACTCCGAGTTCCGTAATTCGACTACCACTCTGGCTCCGACTCCAGGTCAGGGTCTGCTGTGTGCTTTGAACGTTAGTCTACCAAAACCGTTTGATCATTCATTGGTATCAGATTTTGTGTCATATGTATATTCATTCGAGACCTGCACATTTACAACTCAAAACATGATATGCAGTCTACAGCAGCATTCAACGTTCCAATAACAACCTTCACGTAACATCGACTTGGACACGCGCGTCGCCAGGCGTCGGCTGGGTTTTCTCCGCACGTGCTGATATGGCTGAGGTGGGGTTCACGCGGCGCTCACTGCCGTCATTGAGGGGCGTGTTCACGCCACGTGCGGGAGAGGCGGGTAGGCGGGCAGCTCCGGCGCGTAGGCGGGCTCCGGCTCCGAGTAGTCCTGCGCGTGGTGTTCTCCTCCGTAGCCCTTGGGTGCGTGGTTGTACTCGAAGTAGTGCTCACCGTGTCCTCCCTTCGAGTCGCCCCAGTTCACCTGCAAAGGAGAGAGGGTTATAAGACACGGTATCTTTCAATCAAGGAGCTCAGTATGGAGAAAATCCCATTTAATCCATCCAAATGTACAGTCCACAGCAGAAGTAATGTGGGGTTTCAGTCATGGGTATGTTCTGCTTCTGAAGCTTAGGAATGATTAGCCAGACTACAATGAAACTTTGAATGTAGCTTATATGTATCGTCACCCTTGCAGCTGCAACTTTGGCTATTGACATCTTCTTTTCGATCAGTCCGCATTAAACAATCGCCAGTCAAAGCCAACCGTTGAGATTGGTAAAACCCTACATTACTTTAGCGGTGGGCTGTACATACCTCATAGGTGACATATGATGAAATAATAGCTAAAGCTCACTGGCCGTGGCCGTTTTGAGATTAGTTGCACTCATTAGCAGTTGCATGGGAATGAGGATTGGTATGCATTTCGTAATATGAAGCCGGTAGGTATTTAGAACCATGCGTTACTTTGAAAGTACCTTCTCTGGTTGAGGAGTAACAGGAGAACTCTCCCTTTTATCACGTACCCGGGTGCGGAACCGATGATCTTTGGCCTGCTCATATCGTCCGATGAAATGATGCGGGTTGCCGCGCTTCCATCCGAACTCGTACTGCTTGTGGGCAGGCACGTTTAGGTACTGGAAGTAGCCCTGTGGCTCCTTGTAGCCGCCATCCTGGCAGGCGACGACAGCGAGCAGCGCCACCAGACACACGGCCTAAGGACAGTCAGGTCGGAGGTTAGGTCAAGAAGTCAAACGTAGTTACGTACAGAAAAAGAGAGCAGAAATGGGGCCTGAAACAGGGTGCATAGGTCTAAGCACCTGACGGAAATTAACACTTTTCGCAACTGGCTTTTTCATGTCCGAAAGGCATGTGCCATGGACTGAAATAAGAGAATGATTGGAAAAGGACAGTATGACAACTTATATAGACACAATGCTAGTCTAAATTCAATTGCCCCCACCCCCACCCACCCTACAACGTAGCCAACTTAGCCTTTATGCTTCAGCACTGCTCCGTTTTGAGGACGGCACAGGCTATCGGGCTGCACTAGGCCAACACACCGCACACCCTATGATAAGCTCAACACCGGACACTGTGACGTACACTGCTGAAGGAAGTCATGGTAGCGACTGTGCCTCGTCGAGCCGGCGTCGGCCCTTTATGGCCCTGAGCCTCGGCCGTCGCCGGAGCCGAGTTTCTCGGGCGGGGTTTCTCCATGGGCGGCCGCCGATGGTCTCTCCCCTATCTCCCTCGCAGATCGGAGCCAGCGATCGATGGCTGGCCGGGCTGCTCAAAGGGGAACACAGAGTACGGACACGTTGAACTACCGCCGACCGGGTCAGATGTGAGACAAGATGTGTCGCTCGATATTTTTAATGAGATTTAACTTCTCATGAAACGAATATATTTAGGTAAATATATCTGCCCGTCCTGTCTTTGATACACAGTACACAAGCATACCGACAGTTCCGAGCAAGAACATCCTTAGTGTCAAATTTTTCGAAGTTGAGATTTTTATACTAGTCGACTCAGCTCGACGAGCTGAGTCGAATGGTATGAACATCTCAATTTCGAAAAATTTGACACAGGATGTTCTTGCTCGGAACTGTCGATACAATTGGTACTCCAGATCTTCACCATTTGCACCTGCGAAGTATAGAATTAGATGCTTCTATTGTCTCGGAAGGATGAGGGCATCTCATATTTCTTGGCTTCTGCCTTTTTGCATTCTGCCAACAGTGTTGTGCTGAACCTGCTCCCGGGTGGGGGCTTCGGCCAACTTTGTCATGTTGGGTGGGGGAATTGGAAGGGCTATCGTGTGGTCCCAAACTATGAAAGATAGACACCGAGACAGGCAATATAGAGTTCGCTGTAATATCTTTCAGAATTGTGAAGGTTATTTACAGCCATGTCATCCTTGAGTTCACTGGAGGTCGTCAGACGTAATATTACCTATCACAAAAACTCCCGATTTTGACATCTTTACAAATCGGCGAAATTCGTAAACCAAAAAGGCTATAGAGACTCGCGAAATAGAACCTAACCTAACCTCAATTAAGTTCAACGGTTTGGCCCACAGAGGGCACTAAAAACACCATAATAGACAGATTTCGCCGAATCAATTTTCCAACAAATTTGGCAATAACCCTGGCGTTTATACCTTCATCATAACATTCATTTTGCCACCATCGTGTTTCTCTTGTGGAGACTTATCGAATGAAGTATAAGTTGGGCTGAAAAAGACAGCTTTTAACCCTCGCACGACCAGGCCATTTCTCATAACACGAACGACCAGGGGGGGGGGTTGTTACGACCCCCCCTGGCGTTTCGAAACGGAAGGTCGTAGAGCTTAGCGGAAAAAACCAACGGATTGCTCTCAACGAGATCTCGCGATTGGTGGTATATTTTTTGGTCCTAGGTCAACATTTGACCTACTTATGACCGGTCAAAGGTCAAATTTTCCTAAAAAATCAAACTTTTTCAACTTTCCGCGGCGATTGCGGAAAAACGGTGGGAGATATCGACTTGAAACCTTCACTATCGTGTTCCTTGATCAATTCTCTATCGTTTGGTATGTATTTCGTTTCACTAGCTCTAAAAATGGCGCGTTGGGAGCGCCGGAAGTCGGCAAGGTCACAGTCGGCGGCAGAAATTCGAAAAATCAAAATTTAAATTTTTGAAATCTGATTGTATTTTTGGATTTGGGAGGTCCATTTGCTCCCTATAGAAGCTAATATTGCTGCATATTCCCATTGAGGTGACAAGAATTAGCAAAATAGTGGTTCGGGCGCTTTTCAAAAATAGTACCGGACGCTGTTCCTCTTGTGACGTCATAGCTCCGTGACCTGACCTGACCCGGTCAATTTTCTTGCACCACACGATAGCCAATGCTTGCCCCAACATGCATGGGAAGTTTCATCATGATCCATCAAACAATGTGGGTATCACCGGCAGAAAACCTAGGGATTCGGCGCACACGTTTGGTAACTGTCGGCCGGAGGCTGTACCTCTTATGACGTCATAACTCCGTGACCTGACATGACCCGATCAATTTTTTTCGGCAAAAGATGCGCAAAGGTTGCCCCAGAGGGTATTGAAAATTTCAGCCCGCTACGACAAGCCGTTTAGCGTGCACTTCGAAAAAACCTCAGGGGGGGGTTGATACAACCCCCCCTAGGCGTTCTAGGGTTAAATTTGACCTCAGGTCAAGGTCATGACTTAACCGGAAAAGTCATGCTGCATATCATTCGAAGTTCGAACCATAGTCATTGCCGGAACACATTCCACCTGAGTTCATCGCTCTATCTTGTCTCCATCAAAGGTTAATGTTTAGCAGTTCAATCCGAACCCGTTGTTGTGCATCCTGCGTTTACACTCAGACTGTTGGCTCTATAATTATTATTATTTTTGTTTAAATTGTTTCTCTCCTGACAGCCAGACGCTCATACCCATATTTCTTTTTTAAACGTGGTATGGCGAAAAGTGAATTGGTCGTTGATCTTCTATTCCATCTAATGCCTTTCTGGGTTTTCACAGCAGCATAACTGGCATATCTGTGCATTTGTAGATGGACCATCCTTAATAGTGGGGCTAGTTAAAAAAGTGTAGGTATGTCCAATGGCCGTCCAATGGCCGGCATTTTCGTCGACTGTCCGTCCCAAAATGTCAAAGTCAACCATTTTTCCAAAGATGTGCGAAAACTACGCAATAATCAACACTCAGTACTGTAATTTATATGCTTTTAATGTACAATTGGGTACCAGCCCAAAAGTGTTAATCATATCGAAAGCTGAGCTCCTTACCCGCCAATCAATGCTACACACGATTACTTTATAAAAATGTTGAGGTGTAGCAAGTGATTGTCCAACGTTTCTTTATCCATCCAAATTCCGAATAAGACATTGGACAAAATCGGAATACCGAAGGTACATACAAGTTCCGATTGGCGCCACTAATCCTTAATATCTTTGACCCTTCCGATTATGTCAATACCTATCAGAAAAACATACACGATCTAATATGGCGAGAAGTGTCCGTCAGTATCATATCGTGAACAAGAACAAGCGTATACCTGCATGGTGTACTATAATCAGACACTACATGTTCAGGACAGTTGCGGCTTAGTTTCTCTTTAGAAATGGATCTCTGGTGGGCTAACACTGCCGTAAATGCTATGACACGGCGCTCCGTTCGTTCCGCCCGGCTAGTCCGAAGACGATTACCGTTCTAGTAATGACTTACCTCAGATTGCGTCATCGCAGGACAGCAATGGATTGAGTCCTGCGTTCCAAGTGAGGTTGGACTCGACGGCACCTAGCATGTTTCTAGCCATTTGAGTACCGCGGTCACTTTCATATCTCCTGCACTAACGAGCAATATGATCGGTTTTATCCAGAGCATTGCCTCTTGCTCTGTAACGTCCACAGAACAAGCACTCCAGGATACAACGGAATCATTGGTCTTAGAAAGTGAACACTTTTATACCTAATGCCAAATAAAATGGTATATTGTGAGACAAAAGTTTTGAAGACAGGATCGCGAGCACTTACAAAGCAAATCTATGCGTAAATACGTAAATATGATACCTAAATACAAACCTGAACGTAAATACGATAAAATGAAAGGTCAAACAATTGATCTTTAACCCTTTTCGGATCTATGAGTTTTATACACCTACCATTTGGGGCTAGGAGGGGTGCAACTGCAACACCCTCACTGTTTCACCCCTAATTGAGTTACATCTTCGCTAAAAAAAGATACAACTAAGAGCGACAGTCATAGTACCTATGTGTTACTGAGCCACTGCCCATGTGGTCTTTGAAAAAGTATTACCGCTTTGATTTGGATCACTTTATGCCACCGCGATCTCCTAAAGTAATGTAAGCTACGTGTTGCAGTATTGCGAGCAGTTGCAGTGTTCTGAAGTCGTTTTTTTTGCCAGTCAGCAGAGTTACTGATGACTGAAGTCTCCAAAAGCAATGGGCATTCAGCATTGCCTTGTTAGCCACTGCTTTTCTTTAAAGTGCTGCTTTCCTGTGAGGGGCCGCAGTCTCCCGAAATAGCGTCTTGTGAGTCGCCGCAGTCTCCTGAATAACTATTTTGAGTCACCTATGTCACCCATTGGCGGATCCAGAAAGACGGTCTCGAATGTTGCGTGAAGGAGTCATACCCCCGAAAAGGTTTCACTGAATTAAAAAAAGACTCATCGGATTCCGATCAATTGTGCATTGGATGTCCTCCTGGATCCGCCAGGGTAGTCTCCTGCAATAGTGTTACTGTCTTGATAACTACTGCAGCTTCCTGAAGTTGAGTAGTATGTACAGTCCTGTGAGTCGCCATGCAGTCTTCTGAAGTTGTGTTACACTTCTGTGATTCGCTGCACTCTCCTGATCTAGTGTTTCTGTCTTGTGCGCCGCGCGCCGCTGCAGTCTCTGGAAAAGTTACTGTCTTGTGAGTCGCTGCAGTCTCCCGATACAATGTTACCGTCCTGTGAGCTGCTGCGGTCTCCTAAAATAGCGTTACCGTCTTGTGAGTCGCTGCAGTCTCCTGGATTTGTGACAGTTCTATGAGTCGCTGCAGTCTCCTGAAATAGCGTTACTCTTCTGTGAGTCGCTGCACTCTCCTGATGCAGTGTTACTGTCTTGTGAGCCGCTGCAGTCTTCTGAAGTTGTGTTACACTTCTGTGAGTCGCTGCAGTCTCATGATGCAGTGTTACTGTCTTGTGCGCCGCGCGCCGCTGCAGTCTCTGGAAAAGGTACTGTCTTGTGAGTCGCTGCAGTCTCCCGATACAATGTTACCGTCCTGTGAGCTGCTGCGGTCTCCTAAAATAGCGTTACCGTCTTGTGAGTCGCTGCAGTCACCTGGATTTGCGACAGTTCTATGAGTCGCTGCAGTCTCCTGAAATAGTGTTACTCTTCTGTGAGTCGCTGCACTCTCATGATGCAGTGCTACTGTCTTGTGAGCCGCTGCAGTCTCCTGAAAAGTTACTGTCCTGTGAGCCGCTGCAGTCTCCTGAAAAGTTACTGTCTTGTGAGTCGCTGCAGTCTCCTTATATAGTGTTACTGTCCTGTGAGTCGCTGCAGTCTCCTGATGCAGTGTTACTCTTCTGTGAGTCGCTGCAGTCTCATGATGCAGTGTTACTGTCTTGTGAGCCGCTGCAGTCTCTTACAAAGTTACTGTCTTGTGAGTCGCTGCAGTCTCCTTATATAGTGTCCTGTGAGTTGCCGCACTCTCCTGAAATAGTTGTCCGTCTTTGAGCCGCTGCAATCTCCTGGAGCTGCGACAGTC